CTTGTTTTTTGCTTGATTGTTTGTCTGTTGTTAGTCCCTGCTTATCTGGATGTTGGTTGCTAGTGAGGATGTGTATTGGTCTTTTTGTTTCCTTCTTAGCTTTTTTATTGTCTCTTTTGAATGGTATTTAAATGTAGTTTACCTCTGTCTGTCTATTGATGGCTGATTTGTCTGAATGCCAAGCTTCTGGGAATTCCCTAGCATTTTTTGATTTAGCTTGGTCTAGGATGCTCACAGTTACCCAGTTTAAACCATGGTTGAGTCTGTCTATGCGTTGTGAGATTAAGGAGTTTTCATCGTGTCTTCTGGCTGTTAGTTCATGGATGCACTCTGCTAGTCTTCTGCCTGTCTGTCCTACATAATGGCTGTTACAGTCCTCACGCAGTATGTTGTAGATGATTCCTGTTTTTTCTTCTTGGGCTACTGGGACTTTTGGTTTACTTAAGATGTTTTGGAGGGATTTAGTTGGTTTGTGTGCTACAATGATGCCATGTGGTTGCAATAGTCTGTTGGTTGTTTCTGAGATGTTTCTGATGTATGGCAGTGTTACCCTTTTCATAGGTTGTGTTAGTTGTGGTGTAGTGGGTTGAGTGGTCAGGCACTTTTTGATAAAGTTGTGTGGGTATCCATTTTGTTGGAAGATGTTGTATAGGTAATCTGTTTGCTTTTTCTGATGTTCTGGGTTGCTGCAATGTGTCTGTACTCATCCGAATAATGTTCTTACACAGCTCCTCTTGAGGGAGGTTGAATTGTTACTTTGGTAATGCAGCAGTTGACTGAAGTCAGAGTCTGAAAGTCTTTAAGGCTGGTCATCTTCAGTGTGTGCTTCAGGCAATCCTGCTTGGAAGCACTTTAGCCTGTCCTGGAACAGAAGCATTGGCAGCATTGCTGCTACACTTTGATAAAAAGGGTCATATCCTTATCATCAAAGAGAATCATGCTAATGTAAATCTCTCAAAACAAACATTGTACTCTACCTTTCGTCTGTCTGTCTGTCTGTCTGTCTGTCTGTCTGTCTGTCTGTCTATCTATCTATCTATCTATCTACCGTCAAAAATGTCAACAGTATACTTTGACTTAATGAAGCTTTGATCAAATCATCTCAGTCAGAGCAGTTGTATGAACTGAACCACGGGTCTGCTTCAA